TATTATAAATAATATAATAATTAAGTTAAACTGTTTCTGGTCTAAAACTTGAATATTAGCAGCTAAGCTAGCTTTAGAGTTGCCAGAAGGCATCAACCAGTAGAACATTCTAGTCTCTATTTATTTACGTTTCATGAAATTTTTTATAACATGCAAATGCATTTGCCAAATCACCTCAGTCCATATTCAGAATAACCTTATTCAGAAGCTTATTATTGTTATTGGCAAGTTTAGCTTTCTAAGCTAACGCTACTTATCATTTATTGGCAGCGTTAGCTTAGAAAAGTAAAAATGTTTGTACAGTTTATCACATGGATATTTATGCAGTTGTGACAAATATCCCTTTTGACTTTTAGCTATGGAAATGTAACTTGATGGTCTTTCAAAAAACATGTGATGATATTAGCAACTAGCTGGCTAAATGTGTCATCAATACTTTTCCAAGCTTCATTTGTATCATTTTTACATAAAGTGTTGAGCCCCAACTGTTACGAGCACTTTGGTTCAGTTACCATATCACTACTAATACTAATTATCATCAATTATAATTATTAATCCAATGCTGGGCACTCGATAAAACAGCAGAGCAGGCCTGTTAACATTCCAGCTCTTGAAAGCAGCAAACACTTTGAGCAGCTCTGGCTGTATATGGTTCACATTTGACCACATCTTTTCAAAAGTGTTTCAGTCACTACTAGCAACAAACTATTTGCCATAACTCAATATTTATGTTTGTTTTATAGAGAAATAAACCTCCCCTTACACTGGTCACATGAAGAACTCGTACAAACATGTAATGTGTGTTAAATTTGTGTTGAGCAATAATTTTGCCATAGGGGGTGAAGTTTGAGACTGATTGTTGGGTATATGACTTTTACATTTATGTCTTTAAATGACCCACCACTCAAACCCGGGGGATGCTCTGAAGAAGGAGGAATTGGTCCAGTCTGGCTTCTGCACTTCTCCAACCTTCACACATTGAGGTTGGGGGAACATGCAGTGCTTTAGGTTGCTTTGTGTTTTGGTAACAGCTGTTCATAAACTGAGAGACTAGACTACACACAAAAACAATTAGTGTAGTATTCAGTGACTATCCAAGAAATACAAAGTCATTGAAGCGTGAAATCACTGGAAAAGATATTGGAGTGCAGACGGCACTAACAGACTCATTTTCTAAGAAAGGTCAGTATTGATTTCCTATAATGCAAAACAAATTTATCAGTCCAGCTGCAGTGTGTTTGTATGCATGCATGTGAATGAAGGCCCAATTAAATTTTTCTGTCCATAATGATGTTATGTCATGGAAGCTTGTTTGAGTGCGTAACCACGCCTGTGTGCGCAGCACCAGAGAACCACCACTCTTGCTTGTTCTCACTGATTATCGGCAGGAAAGGTATACCACGCAGAAGCTTCATCAGATTGGATCCACTCGATATGCTCCTCCTCCTACAACCTCAGTAATTCATGTCCCTCCTGTTAAACACTCGTCATTGATCGGAGTGGAACAGAATTAAAGGGTCCGCTATTGACATAAGTGTTTTTAAGAGGCCACGTAGCAGTTCTGGCAGCTCATAGGTATACACAACTTAGGATACAGGTTAAAGTAGCCATCTCTTTGTAAGGCAACCTAAAACATAAATGACTCGACTGCATACCACACTCATTACTGAAAAGGGAAGAAAAATAATTAGTTTGGTATTTAGATTGATTAAGACTTTGCCCTTTTCCATGTCAGCTAAGTTTTTGCTCAGCCTTTCCTGCAAACAGACTGGTTTAATGAGGTTTTTCATTGAAAGGACACCACCTCTGAGCACCTCAATATTATTAATGTGTCGATTCTGCTTTAACTCTTAATGTTTAACTGGATCTTTGCTCAGTCTGCGCTGGCCTCGGGTAGTGTGTAAAAATCGTGTTTTCTTATCAGTTTCTAACTCATTACTGCTCTGGCTTGTGCACCAAGGGTGAAATAATTTAGTACCATTAGGTGATTCTGAAGTGCTGGGCAAAGGAGGAAAATGAGGGATTTCCATCATATTGGCCCAATGTGAGTGGTTTATGACCAGCAGGTTAGCAGTCTCTATTGGAGCGTGTTGTAGGGTGTAGTGGTCATCAGCAGGCATCATGACTCATGTCTCCATACTGCACTTCCTGTTTGCAGTGCTTTTTTTTTTTTTTCTTTTTCACTGAAGGGCAAACACCACCATTGGCTGTATGGCTCTTAAAAGCCCATTATGACTCCATTACCTGCCCTAGCTTGCAGCAGGCCCACAGCAGAGCAAAACGGGCCCCCTTTAGCTGTCAGGGTGAGGGGAGGAGAAACGAACAGCAGCTGTGGATAGAAACCAGGAGAGGAAGTGTAGTGTCAGGTGGGGAAAGGCTTAGCAATTGTGGCCTGGTCAAAAATCTTGGGGCAAGATGGCTTTAGGTTGTGTCATTTTTTTCTAAATTGTAGGTGGTCTGTAATGGAGAAACTCGGGAGATCAGAGTCTTGGCCAAGAACACTTTATCACACTAAGGGGCCTGAGTTTGACGCACCAACTCTAAGATTAGAGCCTGCAGTCTAACAGAGCCACAGCTGCCCAAGGTTGATTTAAAAATGTTGTTCTTAAACAAATGCCTGCAAACCTCAGTGAACTGAAGCAACATTGTCAAAAGAAGCAAACCGAAATTCATCCATAATGATATGAGAGACTAATAAAGTCATTCAGAAAATTCTGACTTCATATTATTGCTGCTAAAAGAGGTTCTGTACGCTATTGAATTGTTACCTGTACCCAGGACCTGACAACAGCCAAACGTTCCTACTAAGTTGTGGGGTCACTTGGTGGGGACTTCTATGATTAAAAAAGAAAGGGACCTTCCACTTATCAAATACGTTTAGT